TGAATTGGACGGTAAAATGGCGTCTATGCATTAGCCAAAGCTACGCGCACTCGAGCTGAGTGACACCAGATTGCGCGCGCTTCAAAATGCAAAAAAAAAAAAAAAAAAACAATTGCGCGGAAAATGGCTGAGATGTCACCATTCAAGCAAATGCGCGCGTGTGTAAGAAGGCACTCTAGAACTACCAATGAAGGGCAGCCGAAAGGGACTCCGCTGGACAGAGCACATGGCCATCGTGCCGTTGAATCGGTTTTCGGTGCTTTTTATGCCCCACGCTACCGATACCTAGAAAAAGAATCGTAAAAAAAAAGATAAAATCCCCGGAAAGATGGGCGCTGACAATGTTGATCGGTCGGGACGGTGCCCCGCGAAAATAGAGACACAGCAGGAAGCAAGGCTAAGGGAGACGTTGTGCGCATGCCCAGAAGCGTACTGGGAAAATGTCCATCGCACCTATTCGCCCGCACGAGCACAGACACGGCGGCGGCCACGCTTTCGCCTCCTCCCAGCAGCTCTCATCGCAAACACGGCCCACGAACCACGTGACCCTTATCGAGCAGTTGGAAACACTCGGCAATCTAGGCGCGCTGGAAGAGTTATTTGAGTCGTGAAAAGGAAGCCCACTTCCTGGACTCGGTCAGGAGAGGCGCCTTCTGTTTGTTCGAGGCCAGGAAGCGGTGCTCGTAAACACGCCGTGCACGTGGCCTCACTCCACGAGCCTGCTCTCTCTTACTCTGGCACGTGTTACAAGTACCGTTTTTAACGTGTTAAGGCGGTAGTGTAACGACTATTTTTTTATATGGACGGAGCCAGCATTACTTTCTTCTTTTGAGGAACTATTTAATCTGAACATCGTGCGCGACACCATTCCCACGTGCACCCAAAGAGTCCACCTCATGTGTTTTCTTGCGCCAAAAGCAGAACTATACTTCGGTTCACTGAAAGTCGACGCAGCCGATGTTGTGATTCGAAGGTACCAATCAAGCTGCCTCGAAGCGCGTCTTTGTGGCGTTCGTCGACTTTCTTTGTACGTGTCATCATCGGCTCAGCCCAATCAAGGGCGGAAAGTGGGCCATGACCTTGAACGCTTAGTTTTGCACGGATGTGTTTGTATATGGATGAAGAAAGAATAAAACAATTAAAACAGGGACAACACAACCACATCTTTCAAGATGTGGTTGAAAGATGTGGTTGTGTTGTCCCTGTTTTAATTATTTTATTCTTTCTTCATCCAAGACCTAAACCAACACGCTCTTCTCCCAAGCGGTGTGTTTGAATGTGCTCTTGTCCATCGTGTAATGAAATGTAGGCTTCGTACCGGCGTTTGAAAAGATGACTATCAGACCGTGTTTGTCGTTAAACATGCGCAGTATAGGTGAGAACACGTTTTAGAGCACCAAATATGAAGGTGGTCGGGTCAATTCAACTCCAAGTTTATGCGCATCTGATCACTTCTGAATCAGACAGAACGTTTAATTAAATTAGTACTTTTGTTATGTAAGATCGATGCGCTTTATTTTATCACGTTAAAATAACGCACTACTATTGGGATCCACTAACGTTGGGGAATGTTATCAACGTCAATGGTACGTTCAATAAAACGCGGTTGCCACCTACAGCGACTGCTTGCACACGGGCGCCTTCTCGACGATATCCATAAATGAACGCACGGCGGCGTACTGGGGCACTATAACCGGCATATTTGCTAGTTTGTCAGCTCATTGAGTATACGCCATATGGTCATAATACGAAGCATTACTTTACTTGTGATTTCCTGGAAGCTTACCGGCGTAAAGCGCACCAATACGAGCTTGCAACAACGATGGAACTGCAATAATAATGTCCACTTTTTTCCCGCACGCGCACATTATCACGTAAGCATCTGACCACAGTCGCGGCACTCCCGTTTCTAGTTCATCTGACTGCATTCCAACAGCACGCTGCTTATGGAATAAACAACTTAGAAAACTTTGAATGAAACACAGATGGCCCTATTTTCGTGTCGTTCGTCGGTTATATTGGTGGATGAATGAACGGGTATGAATGGATAAATTCACCTTTTAAATCGGACGGCGGCTTCTGCCGTGCACCTACCCAGTGGCACTCATTGAATGAAATGGTACTCTTTCATGCATGCTACTGCACGTCTCCAAAAGACGAAATTACTGGATCAATTATTTTTCAACCAGGATACGGATAGCAGCGGCGCTTTTTAGAACGGTAGCGCTTCGATTTATTAGAGAGCAACATTGTAGGCTGAGAGAATTTCAGCTCCTGCAGACAAACATCTCTCAACTGTGCCTAAATACATTTTTTTTTTTTTAAGCTTAGCAGATTGGATTTAAAAATCCGTGAAAGCTACACTAATTCGGCTTGTGCAGGTCAGTTATACAACAAGGAGGGCTAATCGTACCGATCAGAAGGATAATGAACTACAATGTGTTAATTAACTTTTAATTATTGAAAATAAACATATTGTTCTAATTAGAAGTTTGCTGAGCGTCATCGAAAACTACTAAGTCAGCCAGTACTAGAAAGACTTGGAGCACGGGGGAAGCACGGGAGAAGCGCGGTGGAGCGCTAAAGTTACCACCCGTGCAGCAGGATCAAGGCTAACGGTCCGATAATGCTCCCGCGCGGTTTTTCCGCCTTTGATCAGCCCCAGCCTTCTGCCGGTTGTACGAGTGGTAACTTTAGCGCACTACTGCACTTTACACGCGCTCAAAGCCTTTCTAAAAGTTACTCTTTTAGTGGTTTTGAATGGCACTCGTCAAGTTTTTAATCGCAACCATGCCGATTTTCAGTAATTCAAACGTTAATTGACAAATTTTAGTGAACTAATCGACTTACCGTGAGGATTATTTCCTTGTATTATGTCCCCCTGGCCCTAAAACTCACCTGCACAAACTGCATTTGTGTAGCTTTCACGTTTAAAAAAAAAAAAAAAACTAATCTGATAAGCTTCGAAAGAAACATCCCGTATGTTGTTTTAAAGTAACGCACCGTGTTGCCGCCGTGATGTCACCTTATTATTGTGTTGGGGTACCGCACCACTCTTGCAGTGAGAAAGTTCGTTAACATTATTAAGTGCAGTGAGGTGTCAGGGTCATATTTTGACGAGATGGCGGGCGACTGTTAAAATAAAGTAATGCGCGACTTTGGTAGCAAGGAAATGGGTTGCCAGTAGAATGAAGTCACGCGTTGCTTCAGTGAGGTATTGCGCTACCATTTTGTTAAGGTCGTCTGCTACGATTACGATCTGCATTACCATTGAAGACAAAACGGCATTGAAGGGACGAAAACGTAATGAACTAGAGAAGTATAAAATGATGTTTCTTGGATTCGAACATAATTAAATTTTTCATTGCAATATGTAGCTGTTTTATTACGAGGTCGTGATTTATCATCCCAGTTACCTGAGTTTTCAATGGCCTTTGTTGATTTGGGAAAAATAAGCCACCAGGTTAACACTGGGAGTTCCAAAACTTCGTTAGGCACTCTGAACTCTTCTAGTGCGTGTTGTACGAGATTTAAGACAACATTTTGACTGTATCGGAACGAGGTATCAAGCCTTACCCTAGTGTTTCCACAGCGTTAAGGCAATACTTCGCCACTGGGGAAAAACGAGGCGCTAAATACTGAACCGAGTGTCGCTACTGATTTGAAGCCACGGGCTCCTTCGTGTCTAAGGTTGGGTGTAAGTACGGGGCCTACAGCACGTCTTCGACAGGTGTGTTTACCGCATCGTCAAGTGTGCACTTTTGCCTGAGGACGTCGTAAAAGTGTCGTTTCGTGCATAACGGTGTAGACGCGACGGACGCCTATTTTGTTGTAGCTTGCTCTAAGTCATAGCCTCCTTTATACTGACAAAGCCTGGCGGATCGCCACGAGACGCTGCCGGCGGAATGGAAGAGGCGGTGCGGCAGACAACGGATGAGAGGAGAGCCAGGTGTGTATCGGGTCCTCGCCGCTGCAAGAGCTGTGCGCTGACGTCCAGGTTCCCCGAGAAATGACTCTTTGATGCTCTGTGCTACCAGATCCTCGCGCCCCAAATCTGCGACCGGGTACTCTATGGCTCCGTCGTCGAATTGCCAGGCTTGGTGAGAATAGAGGAGGCTATTTCTAAGCTTAACACGAACGTTTCTGCAGCCAAGAGTTGAGACGTTGCAACGGCAGTGACACTTTCGTTCACTCGTCTCTTTTGCCTGAACGTTCACGACCAACCGTCAGGACCGCGAAATGCTACAGCATGACACGCCGGCTCCTGTGACGTCATTTGCGGCCACCTCGAGACCATTTTTGATGCGTACGGAGTATGCGCAGCGCAAGTTCGTCTGCTTCTTGCGCAGAGGTTGCGATGATGTCAGAACGCCGAACATTGGCTGATTAAAAAGAATAGTGTGTAGAACTCGAGGCATCGGGCATTGAGGTCTACCGACAATACTTGTGATCAAAGTCAATCAGAAGTCGGCGTCGTTTTGACACCACCGCAACTCTTGCGCAAGAAGAAAAAGACTTGCTCTCCACATAGGACGCTAAGCACACCAGTCGAAGACGGGCTCCCGTAGAGTCGAGGTGATGGCGCAGTGTGACCGAGAGGGCCTTGGGCGCAGGTGGATCCGGCGGGGCCAGCAGCAGCAGCAGTCCCGGCAGCAGCAGCAGCAGCGGGGGTCGGGGGGTGGCGCCGTCGTCGCTCTTGTCCCGCACGACGGCGGTGCTGGCGACGGGCAGCCCTAGCTCGGGCCGGCGCATGGTGCCGGCCCGGGCCGACGAGGCCCCGCAGCTGAGCGCGGCGGGGCCGGCCAGCCTGGCCATGCAGCGCGCCCGGTCCCTGTCGTCACTGCCGCCCGAGCCCTTCATGATCATGCGCAGCAAGGCCATGAACCGGCGCGTCATCATCAACGTGGGCGGCGTGCGGCACGAGGTGCTGTGGCGGACGCTGGAGCGGCTGCCGCACACGCGACTGGGCCGACTGCGCGACTGCAACACGCACGAGGCCCTGGCCGAGCTGTGCGACGACTACTCGCTCGTGGACAACGAGTACTTCTTCGACCGGCACCCGCGCTCCTTTGGCGCCGTGCTCAACTTTTTCCGCACGGGCAAGCTGCACCTAGTCGAGGAGATGTGCGTGATGGCTTTCAGCGACGACCTGGAGTACTGGGGCATCGACGAACTGTACCTGGAATCGTGCTGCCAGCACCGCTACCACCAGCGGAAGGAGCACGTGCACGAGGAAATGCGCAAGGAGGCCGAGTCCCTGCGCCAGAGGGACGAGGAGTACTTCGGCGAGGGACGGCGCGCCCAGTTCCAGAAGTTCCTGTGGGACCTACTTGAGAAGCCCACGTCGTCGTTGGCCGCGCGGGTGAGCGTCCCTCCGTGTACGTGCCGGGCCGGACGCATGGGCGGCCCTTCGCATGCCTGCCTGCTGTGCTAACCTGTCTTTTCTCTCCCCCTTCTTTCCCGCTGAGCCGCTTGGCGCGCGCAGCCCAACGCAAGACGACCGACCATCGGGGATGGGCAGCGCGAGCGATGGGCGGTCGCAGATGCAGCGTGCGTTACCGGCGCGCGGGCGCCTCTGTCTCGGCTGCCACTATGCATACACACACTTTTCGGTGGTTGGCTCGTGCTCGCTTCGTTCTTTCTTCCTTCTGCGGTGGTGACGAGCTTCCGCTTCCGAGCACCGCGGGGCCTCGCTGCACCGTGCTTGCACCGCGGAGGCGGCTGCCTGCGCTCTCTCGCCCCGCACCGGTGTTGTGCGTCGGTCGTGTTCGTTCTTCTCGGTATGTGTGTGTATGTGTGCATCGTGGCTTGTCCCCTGGGAGACAGAGACGGGGCTCGCGGTCGCTGACCTCCGGCTGCCGGCGCCGACGCGGTGCCCCGACCCAGGGCGCGCAGTCCGGCGGCCGCGAAGCCAGCGATCGCGCCCCGGGATCCGCGCGCGCGCGAGGAAGTGGCCCGTGGTTGAGGGCGGGCCGGGCACACCCAGGTCGTGGCCGTGCTGTCCATCCTGTTCATCATCCTGTCGACGATCGCGCTCACGCTCAACACGCTGCCCGAGCTGCAAGAGCGAGACCACAAGGGCGAGGTGGTGGACAACCCCAAGCTGGCGCTCGTGGAGGTGGTGTGCATCACGTGGTTCACGCTAGAGTATCTGCTGCGTTTCCTGTCATCGCCCAACAAGTGGAAGTTCTTCAAGGGTGTCCTAAATGTGATCGACCTGCTGGCCATCCTGCCGTACTTCATCTCGCTCTTCCTGACGGAGACGAGCACCAAGAAGCAGGACCAGTTCCAAGACGTGCGGCGTGTGGTGCAGATCTTTCGCATCATGCGCATTCTGCGCATCCTCAAGCTAGCGCGGCACTCTACAGGCCTGCAGAGTCTGGGCTTTACGCTCCGCAACAGCTACAAGGAGCTTGGCTTGCTCATGCTGTTTCTGGCCATCGGTATTATGATCTTCTCCAGCCTGGCCTACTTCGCAGAGAAAGAGGTAGCCGACACCAAGTTCACCAGCATCCCGGAGACTTTCTGGTGGGCAAGTATCACCATGACGACGGTCGGCTACGGGGATATCTGTCCGACCACGCCTCTGGGCAAGATTGTCGGTAGCGTGTGCTGCATCTGCGGTGTGCTCGTCATCGCGCTGCCCATCCCCATCATCGTCAACAACTTCGCCGAGTTCTACAAGAACCAGATGCGCCGAGAGAAGGCGCTCAAGCGCAAGGAGGCCCTGGAGCGCGCCCGCCGGGAGGGCAGCATCGTCTCCTTCCACCACGTGAACCTGAGGGACGCCTTCGCCAAGAGCATGGACCTCGTCGATGTGCTCGTGGACACGGGCCACGGCGTCGGACAGGTACCTCGCTCTGGGTGGGCCCTGCGCCCGCCGCTGCAGGGCCCCGGTCGGACTGCGAGTCCTCGCGGCACTCGCGCGACCGAATAATGCCTAACAGCCTGGTTCGGTGCCGGAACGGGGTCCCTCCGGAGTCGTTGACGGGCATTCTGGACCCTTATAAATTGCTTGAGACCAGAGACTCCCCTGAATGCGCCTAGAGCTTCTAGCCACTAACAACCGGGTACTAAATGTTTTTTCTTATCCTCGTGAAACGGTGTATGGAAACGATTAGTGAAGGTGCACGTGCTACTGGGGAGTCAAATTATGTCCAGTGAATAGGGTTACGGCTCTCTTTGCTTTAACAGTACGGGTGTTTTCACGTGTGTTTCCTGTTTTTATCTGTGAATCTAGAAGTGGTATGTAATGGCTGGCTTAGACATTGGCGTTTTAATGCGACTCACTGCGCTACGGCTTCTCACGTTCCACTGCGACGCGTTGCACGCACCTCGGTTGAAATAGCAACCATATCTTGTCGTAAGCAGTCATAAGCGGTCGTAAGGCAGTCGTTCACATTTAAACGCAGATGTGTGAACTAGCTTTAAAGGACAAGCGTATTATTAACCAGTTAGCAAACTTTTGGTTTTTACCTTACAAACGACAATATTTTTGTGGGGCATTTATTAAATAGCTTTTTAGAGAAGTTAGTTCATTGGACCACATACCTCAAAGAATGGGCCCAGAGCTAGGACAAGGCCAACGGCCTGTTTAAATTGCGATAGTTATTATGGGAGCACTAAACCGTAAAATTGTTTGCGTCCATTCGTAAGTAGCTCGACAGAACACCCGCCAGGGGAAGAGGAAATCACATGTCGCGGGGGGAAGGGGCGCCGTGATGGGTCATCAACAGGTCAAGATACCTCAACGCGAACCAGCTGTGCACATAGAGAGATATGCGCAGTTCGATATTGTACGACTTGATTTGTTTATATGCATAAGGTACTAGGTACGTAATACTGGAGGCGTGCGGAAAGAGCTGTCACAAAAACAGCTCGACGAAGTCGCAGGTCCCCGCATTGACATTTGTGCGGCACAAGCAAAGAAACAAAATTCACACGGGGTTCAATTTCCAGCATTAAAACAACACTTCGAAATAACATTTTTAAAAGAATAACATTAAAGTTCAGTAAGGGGGAGCGCACAGTAAGGGATTTCATCGCGAACCAGCTCCACATGTTCAGGACTATGCGTAGTTCTGTACGAGTATGCAGTGGATGACGTCAGCGGGAACCAGTTGCGCACATGTGCTATGCACATTGCCAAAGGAGCGCGCAGTGAGTGACGTCAGCGCAAACCAGCTGCGCGCATAGCAACATCATTAGATGAACTCAGCTACGGAACTGCTCATTGACGCTGCCGCTTTCACGAGCATTACCCCACCTCTAACCCCACAGTCCGCCTCCGTCGTTCGAGCGTGCACCACCAATTTGCGGGCGGCTGCAATGTAACTACAGGGTGTTCCATGGAATGCATATGTTTTGAAGCAGGATGTCTAAGATGTTGTTTCACCATATTCTATGGAATGCAAAGTTTTGAAACGGAACCCGAGATAGCACTTGAAGCGACGGGAGGCGGACTGGAGGGAAAGAGGTGGTACCCGCTTCCGCGGGAGTTCCACAGCTGAGCAAATCGAATAGCGCTAGCACATAGGGAGCGATGCGCTGTTTCGTAGGAGGAGCTTTCAGTGAGAGACGTCAGCGCCAACCACATGCGCACAGACAGCGCTGTACGCAGGTCTGTAGAAGGTGCTTGCAGTGGGTGACGTCAGCACAAACCAGCTGGGCGCATACAAAACTTATTTATTTATTTTAAATAATTATTCAAAGAATACGGCGGCAGAAATGCGCGAGCCATAGCAGGTATGAGTTCACATATTACATACAATTTGAACAGTAGAAAAAATTGCACTCAAGAACAAACAGCGGCAGAATCAATTCCATCAACAAAACCGTCAAGTAATGGAAGGGTTACTACTTCGTTTGCTAACGAATACTGTTCTTGGATTGCCCGAGGGAAAAAGGAGTACTTGAATACATCATGCTTATATCTGTATTGCACGATACCTCTTGAATGATTGAGTCTAGATGAACCAGTTGATGAAAAAGTGATATATCTCTCCCCGTCAACATTGAACAGCTTGTAACGAGGGAGTATGAAACGCGTAATCTGTTTAGTCTAGCTCTGATCTCTAACGGTTGTATGCTAGTCTCTGCGAGTAAGCCTGACGCAGAAATATCACATCTAAAATTGTTAGTTATAAATCGTCAATCAAGTTTTTGGAAACATTCCAGTTCACTGAATCCCTCCGCGGTATGAGAATACCAGACTGCATTGGCATATTCCAGCATGGACGTTATGAGTGTATCGTATGCAGTTTTTGTTTTGTTTCCCTGCCAGCAAATTGTAAGCTACGTGTCAGTGTAAGAAGTTTACCCCTTGCCCTGTTAACAGCATCATATATATGCTGATTCCAGTTTAGTTTGCCTGGTATTGTTGCTCCGAGGTATTTGTACTGCTCGACATATTTGAATAATTATACATGAAAAGAATTTTTCCCAGGTTATTTTCATTTGTACTGTTTTATGTTTTAGTGAAGTTTACCTGCATTTGCCATTTATCTACCGATGTTGAATGTTTGCCAAGGATTCATTAAGAGCCACCTGATCTTGACTTGATTTTACATCAGAGTAAATAACACAATCATTGGGAAGCAATTTAACTGGTACTTTGTTTTCTTTAATAATGACACTTTTAAAAATTACGAAAAAAAAAAAGGCCCAACAAGCGAGGCTTAAGGTACCCCGGACGTTACAGGCAGAAGGCCAGAAGACTCATCACAGAAATGTACTTATTGTGTTCTATTGGACAGCTGTGATGCTATCCAGTTTAATAACGGATCATTTTTGAAGACTGTAGAAAGTTTTAAAAGAAGTTTTGGGTGTGATACACGATCAAAAGCTTTCGATAGGTCAAGAATAATTATGTCTACCTGGCGCCTATTTTTAATTGTGTTTGCGAGCTCGTGTATTAATTCAGCAAGTTGGGTACTTGTTGATAATGATTTCCTAAAACCGTGGTGAGAAGGTATAATATTAGTGTGAGTTGCGAAATATTGACTTATGTGTGAATGTTATATGTTCTTTAGAAGCTTACAACAGGTACTTGTTAAAGACACCGGTCCGTAGTCAGCGGGGTTGTTTCTGTCGCTAGACTGTGAATGGGGACAATTTTTTTCAACTTTCCAATGGTATAGTAATACTCCGTGGTCAATAGATGTGTTAAAAAGAATGCAAATATATTTGGACATCCATTCTGCATAATGCTTCAAAAACGTGTTATGTAGGGCGTCAGGACCAGGACACTTCTTAGGGTCTATATTATTTAACAAGTGCAAAATTCCTTGCTCTGAAATTGCTATTTCCTCAATACCAGGTGAAAGTTCGATGCCAATATCTGGCATACATGCGTTATCCGACGTAAATAACGATTCAAAGAACTTGTTAAATTTTTACGAAGTTATACTTTTTAGTAAGGGTTTACCTTTAGTAAGCGAGACATACCTACAAAACGTCTGCGGAGCACTGAATAAAAATGAGCGCAATGTCGTACTAAAAAAATCGTTTTTAACTCAACTATTATGTTTGTTTCTATAATTTGGTGTTCACGTGGGTTACTGTCTGGTCAGAAACACCCGCTTTGCGTTTTTATTCATTCTCTTCCCTCGAGCAATTCTACGTTTCAACTGAAGTATGTCTCTATTGATCCATGGACTTCTAACATTCCTCTTTTTTTTTCTAAACGTCCCAAATCGCTCAACACACGTGTTCACAATGTTCTGAAAATATGACTACAATTGATTCACATATACCCGACAATTACCAAAAAACCCTGCAATGGAAATTTCTAAATAGTCTAAGACGCCAACATGGTTTTATCTTTGTAATCTGGAACGCTAGACAGTTTTACATGGGAGAAATTGCTTATCTTGAAAGGAATAATCACTTCAACCGTTTTACGAGCAGAAATACCTTCATGAATGTTGCAAGTACAAGGAAGGTCACTGAGCTTATTGCGTAATATTCAAGGTCGATTAAAGGTTGAGACCCACCTTGGGATCTTGGGAAACCCTCAACAACCTGGATTAAATTGTGGGAGAACGCTATGTTCAAAAGAGCTTCCCCATTCAAGCGATCCACATGGCGAAGTGATAAGTGGGACCAGTTTATATTTGGTAAATTAAAGTCACCTGCTTACATGAAGTTTCCATCGTAGGTTACATAACTAGAAAGATTTTCAGCAAGATGTTTTATTACGTCTAACGGGGAGTTCGGTGGTGTATAAAATGCGCAAACAACAAACGGCACGCCATGCACTATTACTTTGCACACCAAAGACTCTGAAGTTGGCATATCGCACAATTGCCTACATATCACTTCATGACGAAAAAATATCAAAGCTCCACCTCCTTTAGATGGTCCATCTTTTCTTAAAACGTTATAATCAGGCAAGCATATTTCAGAATCCAGTATATTTAAATTTAACCGTGTTCCTGTAACTATCATCACATCAGGAGAATGCCCTAATAATATTTGCTCGATGTCTTAAACTTTATTCGCAACACTCCTGGCATTCATATTGATTAATTTTAGCTCACGAACACATTCACCCCGACGTCAGTTTTCCTGTCTCTCTTGCAGACAAGTAATCTTCACTCGGCACCTCCTCTTTCCATGTCCCAAGCATATATATCATTATTTACAACCAGCTTGTCGTACCGTAAAGATACGTTTTCCTCGGGTTTTCATGATTCCTTCACAGTCATCCACAATTGCTTCCTCATTGCCTGCACTTTTCTTAGAGTAATCATCCAACACCGATATGTTTGTTCCCTTAACATTTCTGGCGTTCTTCATAATTTATAGTTTTTAGGTGAAATCGTATAACCCCATATTGGCAGGACAAGATCTGGCGGATACTTTCCTTCCAAGTCTGTGGATGCGTTCTACACTTTCGGCCGTGAATCCTAATTTGTCTTCAAAAACATCTTTTGAAACAGATTTTTTAAGAACCGCACAGTTTCCCCGTCAATTTCATAGGCGAGAGCATCTTGTGAAGATACGAGAGGCTGCAGCCTCTCGTCGTATCCACAAGATTGTGCAGCTGCGGGGGTGTGGCGGGAGGCAAGATATGCCATGAGAGGTTAGAAGCAATGTACACACCGACACATTCATGGGAAGTCATAGAAAGCAAAGGAACGTTGCTAAGATAGTGAGAGAAAGCGAATGCGTTATTTATTCATTTATTCCCTCAGGGCCCGAAGGCATAATAAAGAGGAGTGGACGGGCACACCTAATTGCACACAAGTATAAACTTCTATTGTTTTACATTTTTCAGAGTCAGGGGTCATTTGACATTGTTTGCATCCATCAGATACCTCATTTAAGTCAATTTAGAGAAACATAACTTCATACTCTTCAGTAATTTCATCTTAAATTATGCAATCATCCCCAAATAAACTGAGGCTTCATTAAAAACGCAAATGTAAGTCGTTAAACTAAATTAGGAACAGCAAATAATCTAGGACGTAACCTTAAAGGAAACAAGACGTATCAGGACTCGCAAAAGAGTTTGAATATCTCTACAAATTGAGAGCAGCTTGTTAGAAAGCACCTTGTCCAAGTTAGCATTTTAAAGTCAAGGTTGAGCTTGCTTATGGCAAATTAGGATGGTCGCGTCTGTCGTCTAAGCTAGATTCGACAGAGCGCTCTACACTCGCCGCCAGAGTTATTCAGAATCTTTTTTCCGCCTATCTTAGGTGTTAGCTTTTAGCGAGCTCTGCCATTCTCTTACCGGGAACGGAAGTTTGATCTGTCGACGTCCGTGATAGATCTGGAAAAATTTCGGCAACGTGCAGATGTTGATCGAGCAGATTTTGTACCTGCAACATGATAAAATTATGGCTCTAACGGTTTTTGTGGATCTGATACCGGCGTATAAAAAAATTAGCACGTGGGTAAATGCGTTTTCAGAGAGCGGAAGGAATGCCATTGTTCGAAATATTTTATAAACTTAGCGTTTTTTTGACAGTGAGCGCCATATGATAGCGGTCATGTGTACGACAGAAAGGGCAAATATAAAATTTTAATAAACCACTATCTTTTGGTAGAGTATCGTGCAAGAATTACTCACAAACAAATTGTAATTGCGTCTAATCTCATTGCCATTTGACACGAAGTAAACATTCCCTTGATTTTACAACATTCACCTCCAAACACACTTTTACAAAAGGTCGGAATTCATGGAAACGCGCACAGTCCCGTTAAAGCAGTGTTGCTTCATTGGTTAGGCTTGACACCACCGTGAGATTAAGGATCGCGTAAAATGCGAAAAATGGGAATTCTTCTCACTCCATCTTTCCTGACAATCACAAGCGCATCAGGTCTTGTAGTGACCTTCGCACCATCAAATTCGGGAGAACTTTGTAGAACTAGATTTCATCGCCTCTCGCCGCACCCCACACAGCATTGCCACCGTTCTCGTCAATAAAACCATCTGACCATGTGACCGCACTCCGACGGCCAGATACGGAGTGCGGGAAAGTGCTCTGAGAGGAAGGAACTCCCTCGATATGAAGCAGGCGATCTCATCAGCGCACTCTTTCAACCACCGGATCTCGTGCGCTCTAGAAAAAGCGCTCGGGAGCGCGCAAAAGCATTACCCGAATTTGCCTTCCGTTTCAGGAGCAGAAAGTTGTGGGAAACCTCAATAACAGTTTCCTAGAAGCATCGGCTGTTTGTTTTAGAGTATTATACGGGATCCCTACAAATATTTTTTGTTACAACCCAGTGTCAAACTTTTCATTTGTAACAGATTACTTAATTCTCGTTTTCCTCATTGTTTTCTTCTGGAAAGCTAGGACATAAGCAAAACTAAATGCATTGCTTTTGTTGCAGAAAAAAAAACAGTTTGCATGGTGACTAGCACAATATATTACTTACACGCTGAACTGATTGCTCATAAGCATAAATTCAGGAACAAGAAGAAAATTACGATTATATGCGTGTTTCAAAATATGTTGCATGTCTCTAATTTACTAATCAATCGCCGCAACAAACTGCTAAACTAACTAGAAAAAAAATTTGCATCGAAGGTCACAGCTCCAGGTCTTAGAGAGTGCCACGTCCTCGTATAAGCTTTGGACTGTAGTTGTTTTTACACGCCATTACTCACACTACTTATTTTTTTTTTTAAAAAAGCAAGGCGTTCATATTGAATGTATAAAAAAGGCATCGTAAAAGTTTACATTTTAAGTAAGGTAGATTGTGTTCTTTTTTCTTTTGTGGCTTTATTGTTATTTTCTGGTAGTAATTGATTCATTTTTTGTCCGGCAATTTACCAAACGTTGGGAGGAGGGGCCTCGCCAAGCTGCACTTTGCAGTTTTCTTCTGGCTCAAAACTTCTGTTGTTTACTATGGAAGTTAAATAAGTTTATGTAAATAATAAAAAAAAAAGACTGAAATAAAAAAAAAGAACAAAAAGAGAAAACAACAACAACAAATGCAGGTTTTTCGGGATTTGCGGTAAAGAAGTAAAAACAAATCGCGAGTGAAGGTCAGAGGTTGCGTCTGACAGGAGAGATTTTCGAAAGGGATGCTGGCAAGGTAGAAATGGGTTAGAGCCAAGAAAGTTCGCAATTCATGAAATACCAAATAGTCCCAAAAACCTTGCAGAGGCTGCTAATCAAACAAAACAAATCTACAAAGCGTCCGGCAAAAAATAAAAACAAACAAACAAACAAAAAACAGGAAAGTATTTACAGGACTTTTGTTGCGCATTACGCAACAGACACGGGAACTGAGCGCTCAGGGTCACGAGCAGGGCGCCTAGGCACCGCATTCTCGAATGCCATCAAACGAGCTTCCAGTCGCGCGGGTTCCGTTCCGATCTATTAAATGAAATTTCTAAAAACTGGCGAGAAGGGTGGGATTTCACTGGGAAAATTAACTACGCATCACCGAAGGCTCATTCTATGCCCAAATGTAGATTTCAAAACGCTATAGAAAGTATACCTTAAATTAAAAGCATACTTCCCATTAAAGAAACGCGGTTTTTCAATGGAATGCATACTTTTAAGGCTGTGTGGAATCAGGAAGATGTAGAGTTGGAAGCAGTGCATTTTTTGTGGAATGAAAGAAGTAACAAGTAAATCGACTTCGTTTTGTAACAAAATCCAGTTTATCTCATGAAGAACAACATATACAAGTTTGAAAGGGCAGTTCTCCACTCGCGCTGCCCTCTTCACTTTGTGTTAAGGTAGACAGCAAGGTTGCAGTGCTGAAGCTTCGGCGTCCCCTCAAGGAGCAAAACGCAGAGCTGAGGTCGGGCACGAGTGCTGCGTTCGGCTGGGTCCTCACTGAACACGAGTCCTCTCCACGCGCTAACGCATCGCTCGTACCTTTGCGCTGCGGTGGCCTCTTCTGGTGACGCAGGAAAGTCGGCACTAAGGACTACGTGTTGAGTTGGTCAAAATTTGCCTCTCCACTTGTGATATCCTTCCATACTCTTAAGGCTCTGTAATACTCCGACGTTGAGCGCAGGGAACGCAGATTAGCGCACAATGCGCGCCTTTCATTGGCCGGCGAGTAGGAACGCGATATCTGCGGCCAATCGGTATCTGCGTGCTCTGCGCTACGCCGCGTTCGCTACGCTCAACTTCGAAGTAGAACGGAGCCTTTCTGCCAGGGTTCCGCTAGAGCGACAAACAGAAATAAACAACTGCGACAAGCCTCAAATCAGAGCCTTTCACGATTTGACAGGCTTTGTAGAATAAAGTAGGCTATGTTCAAATACGAGCACCGTGCGCGCGAGGGTATCTTTGCCAGGCTTGCAATCACTCGTGCTTACTTCACGAGCATCGAACAACTAAACGCCTACCAAAGGTACCATCGCGAACATGCTTCGTGTGTTTAAGCAAAGCCTCGTCTATGCTCGCAAAGCCTGGCAGTTCGACGACGGAGCCATAGAGTGCGCGGTCGCAGATTTGGAGCGCGAGGATCTGATAGCACAGAGTATTTCTGGGGGAACCTGAATGTCAGCGCACAGCTTTTGCAGGGGCGAGGACCCGAAACATTGTTTTCGAATCCTTTGAGAAAAAAAGCGGTAGCGCGAGGAACGCGAGGAGCACGAGCGGACATTCCATCGCTTGGGAGAAGTCTGTTTCGGCGTCTCGCCGCAGCGGGGCGCCCGTCACGTGGCTCTCCTCCCGTCCGTTGTCTGCCACTCTACCTTTTCAATTTCGGCGGCCACTTCTCTTGGCGATCTGCCAGGCTTTGTCAGTATAGAGGAGGCTATGGCTTGAGGCTCGTCACTGTCGTTTGTTTCTGTTGGTCCCTCTAGCAGGAGTCGGGGCATGGGGGGTAACGGTGCCACGCCGCGCACGCGCACCAAATCTGAGTTAGCTTCGGTGTAAGAGCGCAATCCTGCACTAACGAAGACATTGCGTGTCCTCGCCGCACATAGGGTGACGCGGCGAGTCTGGGCGAGGACTCCGGGCGGCTGAACACGGGTTGCTACCGGAACTTCGACCACGCGCTGGCCGGCGGCTGTGGCATGCGCACCCGGGGGGACTCGAACCCGGTGCTCGTGCCCCTGGCCGGACTGTCCGAAGGCCCTGCCGACGCCCCCCAACAGCAGCAGCAGCAGCACCCGCCGCCGCTCAACTCCCTCAGCGGGGTCGGCCACGCGGCATCGAGCGTCGCGGGCCCCGGATACGCATCGCCCGTGAGTGCACCCCTGGAATAAGGACTCGCTGCTTCTAGGGCTCCATTGAAGCTGATGTCAGCTGAAAGCGTGACACAAAAGGGTAACGTGGAACTTCCCCGCTAAATGTAGCTGCAAAACTGGAATCGGTGTAGAATCGTAAACCAATTCAGTCACCCCGCTTCACTTGTTGGAGAAGCGAATCATACCAACTTCGTTCAAATTTGCCGTGAAAGTGTAGCACATAATTTCTCGATTAAATTTGGCGCGAATGTGTAGAACGTAATTTCTCCACTACATTTGGTGTGAAAACTTTTATTGGATGTATAATTTTCATACTAAATTTAGCCTGAAACCCTGTATTAGCGTATAATTTCGCCACTCGATAGCATTTTACGCACTCTGATTTATGTCCTAGAGCCACCCAAATTCACTCACAACCATGTGGTAAGTGTGGTTGATTGAGTTCATCGAGGTATGATCTGCATCATCATCCCACGAGCCGCAGCCTGATCAACCGACGCCACAACGTGTCTCCAAACGTCTGTTGGTCGAAGAAAAAGCAATCATATTTGTTGTCTATAAGCATCGCCTCGAAATCAGCGACATTTTTAAAACTTGCTCTTGAAGGCCGAGATCCGTGCTTGGGGCACGACATGCGGTTGAAGTCCCGAACTGCGCTCACCTGATACTCAATTCTTTGCGAGTCTGCGTTTAGTAGTGTCAAAGTTGACATGCGTTTGAACTTACGTAGTGTGCGCACTCTTATTATCCTAACATTTGACTTTTTGTGCAAATGTTCTTTCAATTTCATTTTCAATTTAAACGTTCTGTTTCATGAAGACTCAGTTTAACATCGCAAAATAGGCTTCGCTCAAGTAGAGACATGACGGTTTTCAGGAAACGTTTTAAAGCACCCATGTATGCACACATAGCAGAAAATCGGTATTTATGAACGTTTAGCCTACCTAAGATTTATACATCGGTCTTTCACTTCGCACTAACTGTGTCTGAATCTCAGCCACAGTTTCCGGTACCTTATAATAGCGACAAGTTACTGTTCGTACTGGAGAAGAGGGCTCTAAATAGCGAATTCATTTCAGGACACTGTGGTTCAGATAATTTCTAACTTAAATGTCTCATCCCCAGTAAAATAAAGAGAGACCATCAAAATGCCGTTAGCATGATCTACCAGATGCAACGCACCTTGTGTGATGCACCTTGGGATGACGTGACCGAATCCAACGGAGAGGCTGGGCACTGCCATCCAAAAAGCCAGTTTATAGAAAACTAACATTTAACGAATTGCATTTGGTCAGGCGCTATCTCTAGGGTTCAGAAACATGGCTTTTTAAATGTTTAAAACTGTGAGGGGAAGTTAAGAGTTCATTATTAAGTATGTTTGGTTTATTATTTATTTTATTTCGTTTTATATGGCATGCAAAACGCCGCTTGGCGATGGTGTTATTCTTCACTCAAATGAACTGAGGTAGGTTCCTCAGTCTCAACTGTAGCTCTTCCCATTTAAACTACCAATGTACATCAGGCACACATACTTATAAATTGTTCCTTAATTATTATTTATACAAAAAAAAAAAAGAAGACACATGCAAACTGAAATATTATACCTTAATGTAACTGTGTCTTTATCTCTGAGAATTTTGAACTAGTACTTAGATACCCATAAGTCAGTATTAACTTTATTTGAGGAACATGTCTCAAGTAACTATTATAGTTCATCGTTTCGAGCAGCTTTGCATGTCACTGGAACCAATATAAAATTTTCAACCTGAGCCTACTCGGGCTGCTCTTCTAAGCAAGCATGGCGGTTTCCATCTAGCCTCCCAGACTGGTTCCACGTGGGTACGTCATGGACCCCAGTAGTATGTCCCTGCGAAACCTAGGGGCGTGTTATTGTATAAGCAGTTGTGCGTAACTGTTGGAAATTACGTTCGGCCACATGGTGACTTATTAGAACGTCGTGACAGAAAAAAATATTGACTGCAATCACGGTTTCAAATAGCAGCATGTGACACGTAATGAATGCACTTCCTAATTGCTGAGACATGTTAGTTGCTCAAACTTCAGTAGCCTGTCGTCAACACCACTTATGCTTGAGTAGCCTGTCGTCAACACCACTCATACTTGAGTAGCCTGTCGTCAACACCACTCATACTTGAGTAGCCGACTGTCGACACTTAAAGCTGAGTAGCGCCACTCATCGGTATGACAAAGATTTTCTATACTTGTTTTCTCGGATATGCATTTGTTATATTCTAAAACCTTAAACGTATCTAGATCCTGAAAGGCGAAACCTCAGATGTTCCATTTTCAATTTGTTCATTTGTGAATACATCTACCGCCTTGGAAGTCAGTGTTGCATAAAAGGAACATGCCAAAAGAAGCTTGTCCTGACCGAATGCAGGCAAACACACATTTCGATCTAGCGTGCTCCATTTGGACCTTGCTCGAACAAAGAACGATTCACACCAAGAGTCGGCAGTTACTACTTTTAATCGAAGGTCAGCTTTCTGATATATTTATTTATTTTTATTGGTATTTTTGCGGCGGGGGGTCCCTCAACAGCCTGTGGGCCTACAGTAAAATGGACATAGTTGTAACATTCTGTAGTAATACTTTCTTTTCATTAGAGAAGCAAAAAGACATTTCTCTCGGCCTTTTTCTTCGACATAACAGCAATTTTTATTGTAACTGTGTTTTAATTTTTCTGAAACTCGTTTTAAGGTAAAATTAAGACAGCATAATGCAATAATGGTACTAGTTTACGTCTACCATTATTAGATGTTTGTTCCTGGACGTGCTGATTGAAGCAACACCCTTTCGTTTTGCTTATGATTCCAGATACCCCTTCCCAAACACTCTGAAGAGATATATTAATCTTGACCAGTACAAAAAAAAAAAAAGAGAAGAAAAGGATTTGTAGCCATTTCAGAGCTGCATCTTTGAACGAGTTCCACTATTGCATGTAGCCCCTCAATTATTCGGGACAAAGTTGATGCAACGACTTTGCACACGTCCCACTTTTTCAGAAAATACTTGTTTTCGTGTCCCATATTATAATCGAAATTTGGAAAACTCGAGAGCTCAAAACGAGAAATTATATATAGCTGTAGACTTTTTGCAAAACCGGCAGCGCACTCAACTGCGCCGAAAGGATTGTGGGAACATCCTGTATAGAAACGGCTGTAGCACGTGACTGAGGAAACGCAGACGAGCGGACGGAAAAAGCCGAGCGACTGCGTTACCTTCTCTCGCTTTCCTCGGTGTCACGTGGAAGACGCTGCGGCAGCAAGGAGGATTATACAGGGCTCTCCCAGATTTCCTGGCGCGCTCCGCGTGGCCTCTGGATATTTTCTTAAGAGTTATAGAAATAGGGGTTTCAGCGAGCACGAGGTGTCGGCGCGTGCTTTCCACGCGGGAGTGTTCATGGAAACGGATAATCTTTCAGATCTATGCTCTCTCGCTCGGGTGTTCATTTACGCTGCTGGTTACTTGCAGTTGCAAGACTTCTAGTCTTGCACCACCCAAGTTCACGTTTCCGCTTGCGAACAGTAGACGCAAATATGTCGGCGACACACCGGTGTGTCTGACACGTGAACAGACAGAAATATGGGCGCAGCACCCCTTCCATGGGACACTGAACTCCGAGGAAGCGTGCAATGCTTGTGACTTCGAAAAACGAGCCACTAATTCGACGCCCATGGAACGCAGTCAGCGTTGTCTTTGACCGCGAAAAACGTGCAACTAAGGAGAGGTGGCTGATACTCGGCAGCCCCTCCCTGCCCCCTTTGGGGTCACGTGCCAGGCATGGCCGGAAGCCTGGAGAGGTGGAGGTGGGGTGGAGGTGAGGTGAGGTGGAGGTGAGGTAAGGAGGAGTTGGAAATTATCGCTCCGTCTGCTAGGCGCAACGCCGCACTTTCTGCCGGCTCTTCGGCCGCTTCTAGTCCTTTCGGCGCCAAGAATGCTTTCACATTCACAACTCGTAAGAAACGCTTAGGTGTCTTTTTTTTCATAACTGCCTGGATCAAAAACGCACGTCACAATATGAGCTTCTGCCGGCCAAAAATGTTTACCAAAATATTTACGGCGACATACTTTGTATTAGGAGCGATTCCGAAACAGACTCGTATTTTCGGGTCGACGTCTCAAAAGAGAAGCGTGTTTCTGAATCGCTCTTAGCTCATAATCAAACTCGATGTAAATCCGCTAAGTACATTTTTGAGGAAAGTTTATTCTTGATATTATCCAGGCGCTTGAAGTTATTTTAGAGCCAGTTCAGTGTCCCATTAATAATCATACATTTCTCTGACGCGGGTTCTAAGGGGCGGATACCTACAACGTGTCTTCACGAACTGCCCTGGCAGCATCACTCAGCCAGAATTTAGCACCAATTGTCTCGACACACGCACTTGTGAGGCAGGTGAAAAGTGAAGACGTCTAAGGCCCAATCTGCAAGATGGTGCTTGTGAGACTGTGATACGTGTATATTTAACCGCAGCACAATTATTATCGTATTGTTCGCATGTACACAATATTCACATGTATACATACGCTGCAAATAGTGCGGGTGCCTTGGTTCTAGCTGACTTTCAATATCCAGAGGCCTCCAGAACGAAGAACTTAGAAACAGCATGACACCCTGCGGGGTGAGCTTACAACGACAACTGACCTTTACGCTGAATGCGCCGGGATCACTTTTTGCTCCTAGGTTTCACCCGCCGGCGAGTCCTAGGCTGGTTACGTATCAGATGACCCTTATGGCTGATACATGTTCCACGGCTACATATGCTCTATTATTCTTCGTTCACGTACTTGTGCACAACCAAAATTACTTCATCGTGTGAATAACTAATTATTCGCACGATAGAGCACCCCACCAAAGATGTAAACCGAATAGAAACCTTTAGGTCACGACAGTTCTCCGAACCCAATTATAACTCCAAGGAATAAATTAAAAAAAGTACTTTATATCTCGCAACTGTTTTGACAGTATTCGCCTG